TCTTGCTTACGCAGTTTAATCATTATCAGTAATAAGACAACGTAACGCACTATACATTCAGTATAGTGAAATTACAGTTCGACCACACCGTCACACGTCTCCGCCACAATCACACACCAGTGTAACGTGAGGTACGTAATTACATGATAACACCAAAATATGTACAGCAACAGCAACAGCAACACTACTTATCTCAATGTAACACAGGGCAGCATCTCAGCAACACCAATCCTCCTTGACTGCACTAGATAAATTACAACAACGAACAGAACCACGACAATATCTTAGCACTAGTAGAGTGACCGCACTCGTTGAATGACTTGAGCGGAATCTCGCGCACGCCACCTACAGTGAACTTTATACTACCGACACAAGAGGGGGTTTCTCGATATACCCTCCATTCTACCTCGATCCAACCGGGTATTTTATAGACGCTCCGACACGGCCGTCCTGACGTACGACCGTCCTCGGGCGTGTATTTTCATGCATTCCTGTAACAAACACTATTAGTCACCAATTCGTCCGCTCGTCCGTCCTAACACGAGCAGGTACATATTCTTAGTTCGCTAAACTAATTGTTAGATAGCGCTGCTTGTTGCACTATGGCGCCATCAATTCATGACACGGCCATTCCTGGCTAGCACCCGTTTTCGGTTGCAGTGTCTGTGGACAAAAATATACTCATAGTAATCTAGCTCGGCTATCCTGCCAATAGAAACAAGGTCGATTCCAAATGGTACTTTACTTCTCCTAAGTCTAAGTACAATAGTCAACTGTCATAATTGAAAATGCCTTGTTATTAAGGCTTCTTACACAGTGCTTCCTGCCCAATATGATTTATCGTGGAAGGTCCGATCAACAAGTTCCAACACAGTAATTTTAATAATTTTTTACTCTTTACAATTCATAAGCAATGCATATTCAACTCGTGAAACTTTCATTGAAATTTGTGCACCAACACAGACCAGAATCGCACCAACGATTCCTTACATATCTGCTGTCACACATGCCAGAATCGCACCAACGATTCTCCACATATCCGCCGCCAAATATGCTACAACACATGAGGAGCTCTGTGCACCAACACAGGTTTCGAGTATGAGTATACAAGCCATTCTTAATCAGATTTGGTCTCACTACCACTGTCATCAACTATGACTTCTAAATCTCAAGGAACTTGGTGATCGGGGATCTTCCTCACATGATCATGGGGGTATTTTTACACTTTTGCCACAACATAATCTTTGATGAGAGGGCATTCGGCCCAGGATCATAATATAATGGGTAAAACTCACCAGTATTCATCAGCACACCGCTGGGATTGCTCACATAGTACAGGTCAACACGTCGCTCACTGCTCGCCTCTGCGGCAGGCATAAGGCAATCGCACGTGGCTACTAAAGCAACAGCTCACACCATAATTAGCTGCCTTGAAGCAAGCTCATGTGATCAAAACAACAGCACAGGGCGTGCCGCACTCGCACACCGATTCGTTGCGCCGTACCACGCACTCGAAGCGTCAATGGGAGCAACAGGAGCACCTGAGGGTTCACAGGCATCGTCGGGTTTGCAGTCATCGTGATTTGCATGAAAAATAAGTTGTTAATTATCAGGACAACATACACAGTTGCCTATTCTCTCATCCATCACACATACGAGGCCCTCAAACAGAAATACGCTCTCATACCGTGAACTATAATAAAGCACTTCGCTTTCACAAGTATGCATACATCTCCATACGAAGTATCTCACACATACTCGTACTTGAACTTACGAGATCCTACGTTAACCACGAAAAAAAAAACGTGAACCAGGACAGTGCCTGCCAGGACGAAGCTTGATGCATGTTCAGAGAACACGACTTCCGCGCATACAGAATATAACCCTTCTGCGCACACGATTTCCGAGGAACCACCATGTATAGCATACGCACGCTCCGGGATGGCGCCTGCGTATTCGCGCATACGCATCTGCCGAAACCAGGCCATGCTACAACTGGACCTGGCTGTCCGTTCCGACTAGGCAAGGCACAAACTCGCCTTACGCTCGCGCACATGTAATCACATCACACGCACTACTGTAACACATAAAAGAAAACATTAAAAGATTCAGTAGGAACTTTTTTTTCAAAAAAATGCAGCACTACTCTCGAGAAACCATTCGCCTTTCCAGGGCACCATATACTGAGCTGCAGCTACACGACAACCTTTGGTACGGTCCGATCCTCATGTAAACGTAAATACTCTCTCAATGTGAGAAATAATTTGTTCTACTTCAATTTCGTCAGTTATACTTTGGTTTTCCGGTCTCCGGTCTCGGTTCCGGTTTCCGGTCCGGTATTTTTGTCAACTAATTAAAGAGTTAACCTTAAGATAAATTTACTTTCCTCATGTATCAAATGGTGATCGGTAGCAGCGGCAATTAACGTGTCCGCGGCGTCATAAGCCGACAGCTTACTTCCATTCAAGAGCGAGCGCCACAGCACCACGCCTTCCACTAAACTCTCAACATCAAATCCCAATTTTGTCGACTACGTAATACTCTGAGTAAACTGTAACACTTATCAACACATTAGAACACTAATATACTACTTAGTATTTTTAAGTCGTAGCACGTTAAAGTAAACATTTTTTTCGGTACATCGTTTAAACATTTTAAACTTTAAAATTAGCCCATGTAAATAACACCTCGTCTATCAAATTTATAACATAAAATAAACTTCCACTGAATGCAAACTATAACTCATTTAGAATACCTCCAACATTTCTTTCGACAAATGTTATCATATTTGGGTACGTTAAGAAATAATGAAAGTACTTGCGGGTACTTTTTATTATAAATCGAACAAAAAGATTTAACTTTTGGCTTAAAGCATTTCACTTTAAACTTTTACTCTATACTTTAATGATTCGTCAGTGTCGTAAATACGACAACAAACTTGATTTAAGAAATTAAACACAAAAACAAAACGCGAGGCGCATCATAGTATTTCACCAACGTAATAACCCTCACACTATTCAAAGGTGGACAGTAACAGGGACTTTATCCCACTTCTGATATCGGAAATGACAACAGGAGATCCCACTTCTGATGTCGGAGAATTATTCAACAGAGTATTCCGCTTGTGATCTTGGAAATACATCAGGATAGCGTTAATTGTTAAAAATAATAAAAGTGTGAGAGCGGATGTTCAACTTGCTCTCTTGCTTACGCAGTTTAATCATTATCAGTAATAAGACAACGTAACGCACTATACATTCAGTATAGTGAAATTACAGTTCGACCACACCGTCACACGTCTCCGCCACAATCACACACCAGTGTAACGTGAGGTACGTAATTACATGATAACACCAAAATATGTACAGCAACAGCAACAGCAACACTACTTATCTCAATGTAACACAGGGCAGCATCTCAGCAACACCAATCCTCCTTGACTGCACTAGATAAATTACAACAACGAACAGAACCACGACAATATCTTAGCACTAGTAGAGTGACCGCACTCGTTGAATGACTTGAGCGGAATCTCGCGCACGGTACCTACAGTGAACTTTATACTACCGACACAAGAGGGGGTTTCTCGATATACCCTCCATTCTACCTCGATCCAACCGGGTATTTTATAGACGCTCCGACATATATATATATATATATATATATATATATATATATATATATATATATATATATATATATATATATACTCCAAATTCATAAGTGGGGGTGTCGACGTATTTACAGTCGAAAAAACGATACTGCCGACTTAATTAATATTTACACTATTTGACCCCATAAATACCTAAGTAACACTATTTTTATATGTGGTAGAGCCATGCTGCAGCTACATTAGTAGTATAGTTGTAGCACGAATGGGTCGGCTCGACCGGGGAAGGACCACGCTCTCACAGAATACCAGCGTAAAATAACGGCTTGATGCTACTGATTCGTATGGTGAATGTAGAGAACCGAACACCTTTTTTACTGGAAAAAAGGCATTCCAATTCCAACTTGGTCCTCACGGGTGACAACGCGTCTGTATTTTAATTCGCAAACGAGGATATATGTAGATGTCTATGGGCCGCAGCGGTCGCTTGCCATCATGTGGACTATGTGCTCGTTTGTCACCCTATCCTATAAAAAATTACTGCTCACACTATTTACTATTAACACTAGAAGTTAACACTATGAATCATTATTTACATCTTAGTTAATCTCTCCAATGAGAAAAGTACTAAATACGTTTAACCTTGACCTATGCAAAGCGTATTTCAATCGAGACTAAAAAAATAATGTAAACAAAATTCAAAACTCTGCCTACGCCTTATATTGACAGGCATATTTCATTTCTGCCGAATCGAAAGCGACTCCCTTCAGGGAAAAGGGGCGCAGTAAGAATTAGAAATGTATACAGTAATGTAGCAGGTTTGGTCTTGTCAAATTCAGTCATAGATATAAGTTTTTCTTAAATCAATGAATTCAGTAAACAGTAGAGTTTTTTGGCGGGAACTTGACCTGTGGCGGTTTGTTGCTCCTGTATTATTGTTTATATAATGGTTTGAAGTAGACTTTGATATATAAAAGTGGTGCGATTTTGTGTATCAAGTGTCTGCGCATCTGAACTATTAGTGGAAACTGTGAAACAAGTGCTCTGATGGTGATGGATTCTCAAGATAAGCTGTTTGTTTGCATAGGCGCCTTTAGATACCATCGCCAACTGTCAGCTGCTTGCTGGCTCAAGTTGCATTCAAAATCTCCCAAGGGCTGCACAATGTGACGCATCAACATATTGTGAAGCAGTGAATTATGAAGGATAATTATACATAAAGTCAAGGCTGTATGGCATAGTTCCTTTGCCTGCTCTCTCGAGCGAATAATAAAAACAACAACAACAACGAATATAACTCACAGAACATAAAATACCCTTATACGTTTGCTGTTTAAGACAGTTATTATTGGTTATTATACTCCATATATCCCCTATACATAATGTACTCTGTGTTATACTCTTTGCAGCTTTGCACTACGTTTAGCCTGTGCCTGTGTATCGTGTGTATTGTAATATTTTTGAAAACGCCGGTTTATTGACGAAAAAGTGAATTCTATTCTATTATATTAAAGCTATAGGAAACAGGAATGGCCTTCAGTGAAATTTGTAGAATTTGTTTATGCGTTAATGTACGCATGTTTGTACTAAAGAAGAGTCTCCGAAATTTGTACAAAACATTGACGAACACTTTCGTAAGTTTGTTAATATTTGTTAATATTCCTAATTGAAGTTGGGGTAATTTATTGCATTAGTTTAAAGTTAATAATCTGCATTTAAATGGAAATAAAAACTAAATGGGAAAGACTTTCCATTGACGTCAGTCGAGTTTGGTGTTGATACGTATTTTTACAGAAAGATTACATTTTTATAAGCACACACACAAAGTTTCAATATGCGGAACCACGTACTTATTGAGAAAAAAATATTGTAAATCAAATAATTTTGCAATATTTAGTCAATTCCTACCATGAAACTGACGCCATTTTTATTATTATTGTCAGTAGGGATGTCGATTCTTTCCGAAAAAGATCAATTTTTTAAATAGATTCGAATTGTAAGCTGATGTATCGATTCCCAAAAAATCGATTTCTAAAATATCGATATTTTTTTCATGTTTGCATTTATAATGTAAATATTAATCCATTTTATGAGAAAAAAATCCCCTTCATCATAAAAAAATAAGGGGACTGATTCAGAAGGATTTCTGTATCTATTTTGAGACTGCTACGTCTCCGGTGCTGCGGGAAGAGCAGCCTCTACGCCTTAGCGTAACAAATCGCAAGCATCCCTCCTCGCCTCTGCAACTTCGGCTCGTCTGATGCCTACGATTTGTTACAGCAGGCGAAGGCTGCTCCCCCTACGCGCCTCCGGCTCTATAAAACCACTCTAGGGGTAGGACAGACTCGTACTAGGTGGAGTCGGGGTCAATCAATTCGGTTCTTTGACATAAGTTGAACCTAACCTATTTTATTTGTTATCTGCCCTAATAGGTACTGTTAAATAAAACAAATTTCAATAAGAGATCATTTATCATGGTATCTTTCTTGTTTTTCATAAAATGGGTTTATATTTACATTGTAAATAGAAACATTAAAAAATATAGATATTTTAGAAATCGATTTTTTGTGAACCGATACATCAGCTTACGATTTGAATCTATTTAAAAATAGACCTTTTTCGGAAAGAATCGACATCCCTATTGACGTCGACAATGACATTACAGAATGGTGCCAGTTTTATGGTAGGATTAGACATAAACATTGCAAGAATAATTTATTTGCAATAATTCTTTTCTCAAAAATTACGCGTTTCCACATGTTGAAACTGTGTGTGTGCTTATAATAATGTAACTTTTCTGTAAAAATATGTATCAACACCAAACTCGACTGACGTCAATGGAAAGCTAAGCCACTAAATGTATTAAATTTACAAAATTGAATGTTAAAACTCTGAATACCAATGTGTTTATAGATGGGGGAGAACAGAGCCCTGTTGAACCACGGTTTTTCTTGGCATCACTCTCATCACAAAGCTTCAGTGGGGCCCCCATATATAAACAAGCAAGCAGACTAAGTTCTGCAGCCTATGTTGTAAAAAAGATCAGAGGACTTACTAGTGTTGAGGCAGCTAGATTAGTTTATTTCAGTTATTTCCATAGCATAATGTCTTATGGGATTTTGCTATGAGGAAAAGCAGCTGATTCAGAAACTATTTTTATTTTACAGAAGAGGGCCACTAGAGCTATTTAAAACCAAAAACCGAGTCTCTTAGAGATACATTTAAAGAAATAAATATATTATCTTTGTCCTCTCAGTATATTTACGAAAATTTAATGTATGTTCACATAAACAAAGGTAGTTTTAGTAATGAAAGTGATATACACTCTGTAAACATTAGGAACAAACAAGCTAGTGATGCCAGTTGTTACCAGTTAACTCTACAGTCATTAATTTATTGGGGCAATGTATACACTATTACCACAAGGTCTAGGAAAGTGTGCAGGCTCTCTATTACTAAGTTTAAATGTTTTGTTAAGCTGAAACTGTATAAAAAGGGTTATTATAACCCCTAGTCTGGTGGCGGCCATTTTGCGAGAATGTCATGCCCACTAGGGCCTTAGGAGGTAATCCACGCGATATTGGCGCGTGGCGATTAAATTAGTAACTTCTCTAAAATATTGTATGGAAGCTATGTATAAAACTTATTTTATTTGAATTGTTATATTATTTACTATTACTCTATAGTTATCTTAGTTGAATACAACCTAAGAGATTTTATTATTCTAATTTCAAAGTTAGGCAACTGAATTTTTAATAGTATTCTGTACATAGTTCGTGAAAATTAAACAAGAAAATCATTAATTAATAAAATAATGTAATTTATTTACATCAATATACATTACTTTATAATAAAAAAGCAAAAAAACCACACATTCCCATACATTTTTTTACACCATAAGCTTTTCAAATCCTTGACACATGAACGGCGACGTTCACATACGACGTTCACATAAATATACGTTCTTTAAGAAAAAATTTCAATGAATTGCTGGTTTTGTTGGAGCATATCAAATATAAAGTACATATGATAGTATTAAGTGAGATAAATATTAAGATAGAAGAACTAGGTTTTTATAATATTAATGGATATATACTTCATGCGAATACGAGGGAAATTTTAAGAGGAGGAGGTCTACTTATTTATATAAAGGAACATCTGGACTTTTTTTCACAAACAATCAACACTCCAGTGGCAGAATTAATTCATGGAAACTTGACGATCAGAAAAAGGACTTTTCATATTTTCTGCATCTATAGACCACCTGCGAAAAATAAATATGGTTTTATTGAGTGCCTAAATACACTAATAAAGGAAAGAACATGCCTCAAGAAGATATTATTCTCATAGGAGACATGAACATTGATATTTATAACAACAAGTGTAATCAAATTATTTCAAATTATAAATTAACTTTGTGTGAACACGGCCTACACTGTGCAGTGCCTAGCTCGGAGATAACACGAGAAGCGGTAGTCAACGGACGACACGAGCGGTCATGCATTGACCATCTGTGGGTGCGAGCGAGACCGGCTGACACTACATCTGTTGCCTACGTAATCGACTGTCATGTATCCGATCATCATATTGTTGGCATTACGTTAGGCGTCTCAGGATTGCAAAGCGAAGTGAATGTTGTAAAAACGGTAAATAATTGTAAACAAGTGATTAGTGATAAATTGTGTAGGGTAAAGTTGGAAGAATATGATTGGTCCCAGCTTTTAGATTTATCTTGCCCAATGTTATTGTATGAGAAGATACGTTTACTGTTTGAAAATATTTATAATGAAAGTAAGGTCAATATTGCAGTAAGTAATAAACGATTAACGCAGCCATGGGTAGACGGTAAGTTGAATAATTTAATGTTAAAAAGGGATTCTTTATTTAGAGCGTGGAAAGCGTCACCAAAAAATATGAACAAGCGTTTAGAATACACGAGATTTAGAAATAGAGTAAATAAAATTATAAATGATGCCAGAAACAAGTATAGACAAAAACAAATAAAGGATTGTAATGGTGATAGCAGAAAAATATGGTCAAATATTAATACATGGTTAGGGAGAAATAAGGCAGATGTGGATTTAGTAATTAAGAAGTACTTGGGTAGAAATTATAGTTTATATAACATATGCACAAAATTTTTTAAAACATTTACTAATGAAATATTAGACATTAAGCATACTTGTAATTTAAAATTTTTAGATAGAAACATGTACGTTACACAGAGCGAAGTGTCTTTTAGGTTTAAGAAAGTGAAATCATGTGACATAGAAAAAGTAATTGATAAATTGCACCATAAAAAAGCACCAGGTTTGGATGGGATTAGGGTGAAAGATTTAAAGTTAGTAAAGAAAAAAATAAGTCCAATACTAGCCCATTTTGTTAATATGTGCTTGTCAAAAGGTGTTTATCCTGACTTATTAAAGAAAGCAATTGTTCGTCCCATATTTAAACACGGAAGTCATTTAGACTTCAGTAATTACCGGCCAATAGCCATCTTATCATCGGTCAATAAGATTGTTGAAAAGGTGGTTGTTGGCCAAATAATCGACTTTTTGGAACAGCATAGTATATTATCAGAGGCACAACATGGATTTCGAAAAAATCGTAGCACAACTTCTGCACTTACACTATTTTCAGATACAATTAATGAATATTTAAATGATGGAAAACAGGTTATGGTTTTGTTTATTGATTATAAAAAAGCCTTTGACACTTTGGACCATAATATATTATTGCAAGCGATGGAGGAGTGTGGAATCAGGGGCCCTACAAATAACTTTTTTCGTAGCTATCTATCTAATAGGACGCTCCGTACTGTAGTTGATGATGTTGTGGGAGAGGAGGCCCGTATTAGCTTGGGTGTACCGACTGGTTCTGTTTACGGTCCTGTCGGTTATATTATGCATGTAAATAGTGTATCTAATGTAATAAAAAATTGTCAAGTGTATATGTATGCAGATGACATTTGCTTGCTATTTGCCTCTAAAGAAACAAAAGAATTGCAAAATAATATACAGAGTGACTTTGAGAATATAACAAAGTGGGCCCATGATAATGGCATAATCCTTAATTTTAATAAAACAAAATGCATGCATATACACTCTCCATATAATGCTGCAGCGAAAAAGATAACATTAAATGAGATGGCTGTTGTGGGCCACTGTTTTGAGTGCTTACATAATAATAAAATGAATTGTAATTGTAAAGAAATTGAATTTGTTGATAAGATTAAGTATTTAGGACTGGTAATTGATCAAAACTTTAATTGGAAACCTCAAATATCTGAGGTATGTACAAGGCTGTCAGTGATATTAGGTAAATTCTATTTTTTAAATAACATTTTGAACAAAAAATCTATGTACCTTCTATACTATGCTTTGGTGGATTGCCTCATAGGTTATGGACTTGGTGTTTACGGTCGCACTTTTGCTTCTTATATAAAGAACATTAAAAATTTACAGACTAGATTTCTAAAATATCTTGTAAATGAAAAAGTTAAAGAAAATTGTAAGAAAGATTATAATAAGTTATTCTATATTTGTAAAATTTTACCGGTAGAACACAAAGTTAACATGCTATTAGTTTTGGAAAACATTAATAAAAATCATTATAAAGAAAAAGTGGATAATAA